GGGGGGGGGGGGGGGGGGGGGGGAATGCACACGTACCGATGTGCAGCTCCCCAGCTACGCCCACAGGGACCATTTGCAGGCGCGAGTCGAGGATGTACAGCTTTGTGTTGGCGATGGCCTTCCCGATTGGCACCGTCGGCAACCTGCAGACACACACACACACACACACACAAACATTTCTCTCTGCGTGGGTGTGGGAGCCTTGGGAGTGGGGGCATACTTGCTGTCCGGCGAGCACTGCCACGCTGTCACGTCAATGGCCGCCTCGGTCGGGCCGTACCTGTGCACACAGAGAGAAAGGGAGATACAGAGAGAGGTGTGTCTTCGTCTCGACGCTCGTGTGTGTGCTGACAGGTTGTGCAGTTCGACGTCGTGCATGGTTCGGAAGAACCGGTCCTGCAGCTCGAGGGGAAGCGCCTGCAACACTCACACATGTGCACGTCTCTCTGTCTCTCTGTCTGTCTGTCTGTCTGTCAAGTGTGTGTGTGAATGCGCACCTCTCCCGAGCAGATAGCCCGCCTCAGCGACGCCGAACACCCAGGCGCCTTGGCTTCGTCCTAACACCCATAGAGAGCCGGTCATGGCAGGTCATTCTCACATCACATCTCTCTCTCTCTCTCTGTGTAGACTAGACGTACCAGGAAGACGGACAGCATGCTGGGCACGAAGTGGCAGGTCGTGACGCCGGAAGACACTATCAGGTCCGCCAGGTAGTCGGGCTCGCGATGGCCGCCTGCACACATATATAACACACGAACGAACGGTCCCAACACACACCTGGCGAGCGACCATGCAGGCGTGTGCAGCGTACCCGGCTTCGCAACGACGATCTTGGCGCCAACCATCAGTGGCCAGAAGAACTCCCACACCGAGACATCAAAGCTGAAGGGCGTCTTCTGCAGCACAGCGTCGCGCTCCGTCAGCCGATAGGCGTCCTGCATCCAGAGCAGCCTGTTGACGATCCCCCTGTGTGAGTTGATGGCGCCCTTGGGCCGGCCGGTTGAGCCGCTCGTGTAGATCATGTAAGCGGGGTCGTCGGAAGATGATGATGCACACTCACACATTGCCATTGCACCGTCGCCTGGTGTGTGGGTCTCAGCTAGACTGTCCACACAGATGACCCTGGGGGCGTTCTCGCCTCCCTCCCTGTCCGGAAGCACAGCCATGCGTGTGTGTGTCTCTCTCTCTCTCTCTGTGCGCGTGTGTGTGTAAGGGTTTACTTGACAATGGTGCTGAGCAGGTGTGTCTGTGTCAGCAGTACGGGCGCGTTGCAGTCGGTCAGGAGGAAATCCACTCTGTCCTTGGGATAAGACGGGTCAATCGGCACGTAGGCACTGTTCGCCTGACCACACACACACACCACACACACCACACACCTCACACACCACACACCACATGTTGCTATCCGTGGGAGCGTGGTCTGGGCGCGGAACACACTGACCTTGAGCACGGCCACCAGGGCGACCACCATCTCGTGTGAGCGGTCCATCGCCACACCGATCAAACGCTTCTGCACCACACACACACACACTCTCTGACAGACATGTGGATGTCCATGTGATGAGCGTACGGGCGGCAGGATCTTGGCCAATCTGTCAGCCCTTGTGTGCAGCTGCTCGTATGTGAGCACCGCGCCGTCGAACTCGACCGCAGGTGCATCTGATGCATCCATTCACCCACACACACAGATGCAGGTGTACTCGTGTTGGCACACTCACACACTCACCTGGTGTTTTGTTCCTCTGCTCCTCTAGCCAGTGGTGCAGCGGCCGGGAGAGGTCGTAATCCACAGCTGCATTCGTCGCATCCATTGTGGGCTGAGTGAGCGTGTGTGTGTGCGTGTGTCTAGGGGGCTCAGTGTCCGCGGACCTGTGTCGTTGAACGTGTCGAGCATGAGGCGCCTCTCATCCGCCGAAACCATGTCCAGATCCCCCACCTGCACTTGCCATAAGCCACACACACACACACAGATGAACGCACACACACACGGAGATGTGTGTGTGTGGAGACCTTCTCAGCGTCATTGCTCCGGACAGAGCCCCGGATGCACGCGGCGAGGCTGTGCAGAAGCTGCTGTGCGCGGGCAGCATTCAGCCAGTGGGGATTGTACTTGAGGTTGAGCTGCAACACCCCTGTTGCCACCACACGCACACACAGTCACATCTGTGTGTGTGGATGGATGGATGGATGGGCGCGAAGGATACCAGGTGCCTTCCCGGGCGGATCGGAGAACGCATACGCCTCCAGTGTGTAATCTGACAACACCAACACACACACCCACACCCACACCCACACAGACACACGCCTGTCTTGACAGACAGACAGAGGATGGCCACACCGACACGCACGTACCGAAGTCGACACTTTGTGCGTTAATCTGGGGTGTGTGTGCGAGGGCGTTGGCCACGCGGGGCATCTCCCCGTTGAAGGCCATGTACACGAAGCCAGCCTGACACACCGCCGAGTGGCCCGTGCTGCTGCTGCCTTTGCCCTCATGCTTGCCTGCACATACACACACACACAGAGGGCTGTGTGTGTGTGTGTGTGTGTGTCTGTGTGTATGTGTCTGTGAGGGCGACGCACTGATGTCTCTTGCGATTTGTGCGAGAGGGTATGGCTGGTGGTTGCGGGCCTCTGCGATCTTGGACAGCACCGACTGCGCCACCTGCACCCACCCACAGGTACACAAGAGGAGGAACAGAGGAATGTGTGGCTGTCATGCGTTGCCACATGCTCACACTCATGTGCACCTCCGTGAGCGTCGCGTCGGGCGAGTATCCCAGCCGCAGCACAGTGGTGTCGTGAAACTGACATATAGAGACACACAGACACACACAGAGGTGCAAATCTGTGTGTGAGAGTGGGCGCTTACGGGTCCGATGGCCTTTTCAGCCTTTGGGTAGTTGATGGGCGGCCCAGTGGGGTGTGCGTGGTAGGCCACCAGGAACTCGTCCTCTCGGCTGTAACGGTGAATCGCCACCTGCAGTGCAGTTAAGTCACACACATACACATACACACACATACATTCCCTCTGACGGTGTGTGTGCGTGTTGATGGTGACGGCTTGCCTGAAAGGCCGCCAGCACAAGGGACTCAACAGTCACCCCTGCACGCCTCACCACGCCCCACAGCTGACGCACTGCACAGACATACACACACCAACACAAGAATGGCCGTCCGTGACTCTCATTTGTGTGGTGGGGTGTGGAGAGCTCACCGGTGTCGCTGTCAATGGCGATGGTAGCCATCTTGCCCTCAAACAGCTTGCCCTTCGGGCGGCTGGCCCCCACGGCCATCGGCAGCTCCAAAGGCGGCACGCCACTCACGACCTTAGACCAGTGCTCCTGAACACACACACACACATGACACACTTCATGTGTGTGTGCGGGAGTGCACGCTCCGTGCGAACGAACCTTGAGCGCCTCGCTGTTGGCGAGTGCGGCCCTCTCGGCTTTGACGTACTCATCGAAGTTGAAGTGGAAATCGAAATAGGGATACTGATGGCCCCACTCAGGGTCGCTCGACTGCATCGCCACACACACACACACACACACACACACACGCACACACAGAGAGAGAGAGAGGTGCGTCTGTGTGTGGGGAGGGGGAGTGTCCGTACGCAGCGCACCTCCAGTTGTGTGAGCAGTGCGATGGCCTTCTCGCACACGGCGTAGAAGGACGGCGTATCGAACGACAGCAGGTGGCCGACAAACACCACGGTGTCTGTGACACTCTCGGCTCCACTCTTAACATACACACACACACACACACACATTCACTTGTCCATCGCCACGCCGAGCGAGCGACTCACGCCCTCACATGCACGACGATCATTCGGATGGGCGCCTCTCCCTGCAGGTCGAATGCCTTCCCCGCCAGCCGACCGATCTCCTCCTCAATCTTCCCATGCTCCCACCCACAGCAGTCGACGGCCGTCACCAAAGGCACCACACACGAGTGCTTCTGCCGCACGCGCTCCCCGCCATCGCCCACACACGCATACGAAGACTGGCAGCACTGCAATCAGCACACCGACACACCAACACACTCTTCCTGCCTGCGTGTCTTCATCTTATCTGACCACCTGACCTGAGTGGTGTCGACAAGGTCCGACAAGGCCTCCCTGGCCCGATCTATGTCGGTGTACTGCTTGGGCAGGGCCAGCCGCAAAGTGGCCTTGTTGGCCAGGCCGGCGCCATGAGTCAAGGACTCGACAAACCACCGGGCCTCCTGTAGACAACACAAAACACACAAGCATTTGACACATTAGATCAGATCAATCCCTTCAGACACACATTGTCGACCGCACCTGGCTGAGCGACAGGCGCGTCCCCGCGTTGCTTAGGGACCGATCTAGCACAGGCATCCCGAAATCTCCGCTCGTAGGTGCCATTTCTCTATTTCACGCGCGACGCCGAAGCTTCTGCGAGCTGAATTCCAGTGATCGCCGACTCCCCCCCCCCCCCCCCCC